CTGAGCCCCAGCCTCCCCTCTCTCTTCAAGACCAAGGAGCTGACTGCTGTCAGAAACACATCCCAAGTGCAACAGGAGGCATTCATGCAGCCATCACCTCCTGCTGGCAAAGGATTTTCCCTTTGGAGAGTGGGATCCTACAGGATAGAACAGGAAAGCTACAGCCCAGAAAACACCCTGACCCTGCAGCTAGTTTATACAGGGAGGGGCTGGGTTGCCTGGTCCACCCACTGATACCAACACAGAGAGGGTTTCTAAGAACAACTGCCCCTTAGTCTTAAAAGGGCAGAATCAGACTTGGGTAGTAGCAGTGATCAGGAGTAGGTCTCCAACAGAGAACAGAATGAACCATAGAAACAATTCACCTTGGCTTCCTCCTGACTGCTGATCTGGCTGGGTCTGTGAATGGAACAGCTGGACCCTTCATGTCAGAGCTCCAGGGTCACCACGCTCCCTGCCTCACGGAGCACCCTCTGGAGTCCCAACACGGGGAGACCGTGCTGGGCTCTGGCGTCGCTGCTGTCCGACGACACAGCACATTTTCACCCAGTGTGGGGAGTCTCCCTACACTTGCGCTTTGTGAACAGTTCTGTTCTTGGCACATGGGGTTGCAGCTGCACACACTGGGCAGAAAGACTGCATGCGCTTCGCCTCTGCACATTGCGCCTGGTGTATCCGTGGTGATCTTGCGAGCTTGTGCAGGTGTCCTGTGCGGATGAGGTGACCCCCACAGCTTTGTCCATGTCTCATATCTGCATGCTGACCCTGCAAGCTGATGCAGGTGTCTTGTTCCCAGCTGCAGCCGCCGCCTCCTCTCCTTTCTCCTCTCACACAGCTCCAACTGGGAACAGCCAGTCTTGGCCCTGGAGGATGTTCAAAGGAGCCATAGGTGAGAGTGCTGTAGGGGCTCCATTCAGGCTCAGAGCTCTGACTCCTGCTCCCACATATTCAAGCAGCAGGCCTTGCACAAGCCCAAATGGAACGTGTCCTGGGCTGTCCCACAGACAGCTGGACCCCCAGTTCCCTCTTTTTTCTCAGACAAACGTCAGGGCCCTCATAAGTAAGCTACAGTAAAGGCAGCTGTCGATCCAAGATTTGGGGTGGGTGCTAAATACGGAGCCTCAGGCTGCCCTGCATTAGCTTCTAGCAAAGTTCCTAGAAAAATATCCAGACTTGATTTCCAGGAGTGGTGAAATCACCACAGGCCTTGATGAGCCCTTTTGGTGGTTAATTATCCTCACAGCTAAAAATGTGCACCACGTCCCAGACTGCATGTGCTCTGCAGTCTGCAGCCATGGGTCTCAGCTACGCATGCCAGCTCGGCTGAGGTGTCTGCCATACCTAGTGGCTGATCGAACCCTGCGCTGCCTGTCCGAGGCATCCCCAGGAGGCATCACCCCAGCCACAGCGGGGGTCTGTGCTGCCTTCGGGGCTTGTGCCAGGCCCTGCTGAGTGTGGGCTGGCCGCAAGCAGGTGGCCAGCCCCGTCTCACAGAACGCACGCAGAGGACGTCAGCGGTGTGCAGGTGCTGCCGGCCTGGAAGCAGGGAGCTCAGGACAGGGGCTGCCAGCCACAGCCCCACTCCCTCTCCAGACGGTGGCAGAGGCACTCAGCAAACCGCCCGGCCGCCCCACGCTGAGCTGCTCCTTCAGGTGTTTTGTTGTTCCTGTGGCTTCTCTCTGGGCATGCGTTTAGCACCACCACTCCAGGTGAGCCTAGGACCAGACAAAGTCTCCAGTAGTGGTTGCAGTGATGGTGGCAGTGACATGACCTCTCCTGGATCCTGTGTGGGCTTGTACAGGCAGGGTTTGGGTTAGACCATTGGCCCACAGGCAGCCCCACCGCAGGGTGGAGAGGTGCAGTGCTGGACACATGGAAACAAGGAACTTTTCTGAGGGTGCCTTGCCCTGGCTCTACAGCTGGGTTTGCTTCTGGTTCCAGGTTGCCTGCTCCATGACGTCTTGTGGGGAGAGGGCTCTGGGTACCAGGGAGCAGCCAGGGAGATGGTGCTGGGCCACATAACAGTGAGCGCTCCTCTGCTTCTCCCCTGTCCCCAAAATCTGACCCAGCTCCTGCGGCAGAAAGCTGGATTTCCAGATAGCTTCCCCTGTGGGTCTCTCCCTTACAATGGCAGCCATCAGAAGATGGTTAAGGAGGGAAGTGAGGCTGTTCTGGAAGCACCAGAGCCCTTGGCCTGAGGAGCCTAAGGAAAATACCTTACTCTGTTGTAGACCTTGCTGCTGTGCAAATGCTGACATGCATTTTAGAGCACTTTGGGAGTGAGCAGCAGTTCATCTTGAAGGAAAGAAGTTACTAAATTTGCCACACAGTGCCTATTGCAGCCGCTGCGGCAGCTTCTCAGTTTCAGGTGCGTTTCCATCTGCAGTGGTGGAGAATGCTGTCAGCTAAAACCCAGGCACAGTGCACAGCTCAGGTGTATTGGTGCAGGACTATTACCCAGTCATAAAACCCAGCCTGGAGCCAGAGTACAGGCAACCTGAGTACAGGTTTCAGCAGTGTCCAATGAGGTCAGCGTTACACTCTCAGATGAACAGCTCCACGACAAAGGGAGCCGGGGCAGGAGGAGGGAGGATGTTGAACTCGGGGCAGGGGGGCAGGTGGACTCAATGATCTTAAAGGCCTTTTCCAACCAAATGATTCTGTGATTCTAATTTCCCAAAGTGCTTTCTGGCCGGGCTGCTGTCATGGCACCTGTGGCTCTGAGTGCTCTGCAGCTGGAGCGGGGATGGGAGATCCTGTCTCACGGTGCTGCTTCTGGCAGCTGCCACGGGGTTGGGGAGCACATGCTCTGTGCGGGGGGTATGGTGCTCGTGGTGGATGTGCTCTCGGCTTTTCCCCCTGGGCTTCCCCTCAGGCCGCAGGGCAGGAGAGCTGGTGAGGGTGTGTTGCAGGTGCTGCCCCCCCTCCCCGGAGGCTGTGGGTCACTAGGCGAACTGGCAAGGGGCTATCTCAGGCGCTGCCCCTCTCCCTGGGGTGCAGGGCGTATGGTCTGGGGGGAGGGAGAACCCACCTCTACCTGAGTGTTTTTTTCTTCCCTGGTCCCGCCATCCTCTGTGGCCTCTCCTGCTGTTCCTTCCATCCCTGATGACTGGGTGAGTGGTTCAGGTTAGGGGCCCTGCCCAAAGGAACGAGCCGTTAGCAGCCCCCAGCTGGGCCCTTTCCTTGGCGCGTGTGCAACGTTCCTGCGCTTCTCGCTCACGGGAGCCGAGGCCCCAGCGCTGCTGCTGGGAGGAGCTGTGGCTGACGAGGCCTGAACTCCACTTCACCCGGGCCTGGCCCAGCTGCCTCCCCCCTGGCTCCGTCCTCCAGCTTTGTTCTCGGTGCAGAGCTCCCAGCTGGTGGATGAGCCATGGGCAGTGGTGCTGGGGGTCAGAGGGAAGGAGCTGTTTGCTGCTGACCTGAGCCTTGCAAGGAGCCCAAGGAGGAACGGGGGCCTTGCAAGCGGGGAGCAGCTTCAATCCTCCTGCTGTGTCTGTGACTGCCATTCACGTGCCCCAGGCTCCAGTGGGCGCTGGCTGTCACAGGGCGATGCCACCCTCAGCCATCATCCTCAGAGCCCAGGGCTGCTGGGCACAGAGCTCTGAGAGCGGGACAGAGCTGGGGCCATGGCGAAAAGGGGGCTGGTTTTCTTCCCGTCTGGTCTTAAACATCTTTGCAGACAAAAAGGAGCAGAGGGCCAGGGGCAGCTGCTGCGACAGCGCAGGTTGCCCCTGGCTGGCTGATCAAGCTGGGTGCAGTGAGGATGCTTGGCTGCCAGATCCTTGGCATCTGGGTGAGGCTTGGCCTTTCTGCAGCCCCTCTCCATATGGCCTTCTCCTTTGCTAAGGCAAGTCTGTTGACCTGGGTCACGGATGTTGTCCCAGGGGTGCAAGAAGGCGGGGTATCATAGAAAGCATGGTGCAGCTCTTGTGAGTCTGCAGTGCTGTGCTCCCCCACCGCTGTGTCCCTTCACAGGGACCAGGCCAGCATAGGCTGATCCTGGGGTGCCCTTGAAGCGGGCGCTGTCCGTCTGCTTTACTATGGCCATCTTTGAGACTGTGCAGTGGCTGTGGGCCACAGAGCAGGGGGCAGCACTGGGTTGCGGAGGTAGTGGTGGTGATGGGCTGGGTCTGGCTGGTGATCTCTGTGATGCTGGCCCTGCTCACGTAGTGCCTTCCCTCATCCAGGTGACAGCCACAGATGCAGACAGCGGCATGTTCGGCTCCCTTTCCTACTCCATTGGTTCTGGCATCGGCAGCGTTGTCCCCACGCAGTTCAGCATCGACAAGCACACGGGGCAGCTGTGCACTGTGCAGCCTCTGGATCGTGATGAGGGCACAGCTGCCTACGATTTCACCATCACTGCTGTTGATGGGGTGAGTGCTGGAGAGGCTGCGGGGATGCAATGCTGCTGACTCAGCACTGTGCAGGGGATACTTGTCCTTGCCCCTGCTCTTTGCACCACCTCTGATCTGGTCCTTCCACAGGGTGGCCTGAACTCCATGGTGTATGTGAAGGTTTTCCTGGAGGACATAAACGACAACCGGCCAGTGTTTTACCCACTGGAATATGCTGCCAGCATCAGCACTCAGAGCATGCCAGGTACAGCTGTGCTGCGTGTGACTGCCCACGACAAGGATGAGGGGCTGCACGGGAAGGTGGCCTACCGCATCGTCCTGGGAAACTCACCCCCTCTCTTCTCCCTCAACAAGGACACAGGTGAGAGAGCTTGGGGGCTGCCAGAGCAGGCAGCAATCAGAGCGGTGGGATGCAGACAGGTGTAAAAGCCAGCCTGAGGGTCACTGCTTGGCTGTCTCAGCAGTGCAGTCTGCCACCAGAATATATCTGTGCCTCTCCCTGACACATCTTCCTCGCCTTGGCTTCTTGAGCCTCTGGCAGTGCCTTGCCAGACAGAATCTCTGACCTCTGGTTTCTGCTCTCTACTCTGTTCCTCATTTGTCCCGTCTTCCTTCCTCTCCCTCATTCCCCATCCCTGAATCACTGCACCTTCCCTCCTGCTTGCTGCTTGCTTTGCCCCATCAGCCTGTATTCTGCTTAGTTTCTTGTCCCTGCCCATTTCCCTTCTCTCCCCTGCTCTGTTTACTCTCCTTCCCTATAACTCTCTGTCACACTCAGTCCCACCTTTGCTCTGCCTTGGTTTGGCCACCAAAGCCAGAGCAGTTTCTGCTGGGGAGGTGAGTGCACAGGCGTACGGTGCCAGGGGCTCTCAGTGGGATAGGAAGGTGTTCTGTGCTCAGCACAGGCATTGGGGCCTCTCCACAATGGTCCCCAAGTTCCCAGAATGTGATTAGGATGAGACAGACCCACTGGCCATCCTAATGCAGGGCCACCTCCGTTGCAGGGCCTGCCGAGGATGGTCCTTCAGTTCTTCATTTCCTCCAAGAGCCTCCCCACAGCCCAGACCCCACCTGCTGTGTCGTGACCCTCACCCTGCACCCCACACCGGGAGCCCTCATCCCTCCTTTCCCTCTCCCAAGACCTGCTCCCTGGCTCGTTTCCCCCAGTCCTTACCACTGCTTCGCTCAGGTCTGGGCTTAATGTTGAGAAAGGAGGATTTGGGGAGGCTTTCCCAGGAGGGTTCCCCTTTACTCCGGTTCTTCTATGGCGAGCTCTGCCCCTGCAACCCACGTCGTTTGCTGCCCCCTTTGGTCTTTCAAGCTTGTGGTTTGGCCTGTTCCCTTGGTGCCAGGTGACAAGCAGGGGTGCGGGCATGGCACCCTCTGAACTGCTTTCTTCCATAGGTGTCATCTCCCTCTCGTGGTCCCTGAGCGGTAAAGCCAATACCCTGGTGCAGCTGGTGATCTCTGCACAAGATGGTGGGGGCCTGCAGGCACAGCCAAATGCCCGGGTGAACATCAGCATCGTGGAGGGCACAGTCTCACCCCCCGTCTTCGAGCAAGCTCAGTACTTTTTCACAGTGCCTGAGGACATGCTGCAGGGTGCCAGTGTGGGGTCTGTCCGGGCCCAGAACCCTCCAGGTACGGGCTTTTCCTTTTGTACGCAGTCACTTTCCCTGTCCCTGAACCATCCTGAAGGTCCAGTACCACACTTCCTCAGAGAGCAACCCTGTTCTGGGGACTCCATGCCAGCACAGGGGCACATACACCCAAATGTGTACCTATGCCGTTGTCACTCAACTCAGCGTGTGCTCGTACACATGTGTTGACACACGTGTGTACACACACACTTGTGCACATGCATCTGTGCATACATGCACATGTACACAGTGCTGCTGTGCACCCCCTGGCCAGAGTCTGCCACAGACAGCTCTGCCCAGCCCTGCTGCCGTCTGCAGGGGGCTGAGGAGGTGAGCCGGGTGCACAAATCGTTCTGCCTGTCTGCATTTCCTTGTCCACAGGTCATGCTGATGACATCTTTTATTCCATCTCCTCGGGGGATCCTCATGGCTCCTTTTCCATTGACTCTGCCTCCGGGCAGCTCCGCACCAGCCTGCCTCTTGATCATGAGTCCCAGGCAGTCCTCATTCTGGATGTCCAGGCCCGAAGTGGTTCACCTCCTGCCTATAGCAACACGCGCGTGAAGATCTCTGTGTCAGATGTGAATGACAACGTGCCCGCATTCCCAGCCCCCTCCGACTCCATTCTGCTGCCAGAGGCCACAGAACCTGGGACAGTGGTGTACACCTTGCAGGCCGAGGATCGTGACAGCGGTGCCAACGGTCAGGTGAATTTTGAGCTGGTGTCAGGAGGTGATGGCACCTTCAGTGTGGAGCGCGCATCAGGGGTGGTGCGACTGATCGGGGCCCTGCAATATGAAGCCAGTGCAGCCTACAGGCTGGCCATTGTGGCCCGAGACAGCGGCGTTCCTCAGCTCAGCTCCAGCTTCACGCTGCTGGTGCATGTGCAAGCTGAGCACGACAACGGGCCCATCTTTGACACACTCACTTACCGCGTGGAGGTGCGGGAAGGTGTGCCTGTCTCCACACGCTTCCTGCAGGTGCGGGCCCTGGCACGTGATACGGAATCCATGACCCTTACCTACCACTTGCGTGCAGATGGGGATGCTGCCAGCTTTGGCATCATGCCCGAGAGTGGTTGGCTGTATGTCAAAAGTGCGCTGGACCGGGAGACACGAGACCTATACGTGCTCACTGTGCTGGCCTCGGCAGGAGGCAGCAGTGCGGGGGGGGAAGCACGGAAAACAGGCACCAGCACTGTACGGATCAGCATCACTGATGAGAACGACAACAGCCCCCGGCTGAGTGAGGAGCGTTACTTCTTCACTGTTCCTGAGAATCAGGCTCCTGGTGGCAGTGTGGGAAGGGTGATGGCAAGTGACCGGGATGCTGGGCAGAACAGCCGGCTCACCTACCGCCTGCTCCAGCACGATCCCAACTTTCTTATCCACACACAGACAGGTGAGAGACTTCCTGGCTTCCCAGGCTGGGGCTGGCTGGGAAGAAAGCCCAGGGCCGGTCAAATGTGATGCAGGCCGGGCCAGTGCCATGACAGAATATTCATCTTCCTACCCCTGCGTGCTGGGCTCCCCAGCAACATACCTGAGCACAGGCTCTTCTCTAAAGAGGCTTTTGGACTGAGCTGTGTCCCCACTTCTCCCTCACAGGGGACCTCAGCACCAAGCATAGCCTGGACCGGGAGCAGCAGTCAAGCTACCAGCTCTTGGTGATTGTGCAGGATGGAGGAGCACCACCCCGCAGTGCCACAGGAACCATCTATGTCACTGTGCTGGATGAGAATGACAACGCTCCTGCTTTTCTCCACGTGGCCAGTGGTCAGGAGCTGCCCGTGCAGGTAGGGGCAGCAGGCTGGAGCCCTAGTGAGGCAGGGGTGTGATAGCCTCTGGGTTTGGCGGCAGGCGTTTCTGCAGGGGAAAAGGGAGTGGGCAGGGGCACCCAGGAGGGTTTTGGGGTGGGAGATAAGCAGGCACAAGTGCATCCATGCAGCAGCCAGGGCAGTCTGGTAAATGTGATCGAGATGTGGTAAGATGGTCACGTCTTTGGGAAATACCAACACCTCTGTGCACAGAGCAAGCGAAGACTGCAGAGAGCTCTGAGACCAATGGGACGGACCAGCAGGCAGAAGCTCTTGGCTCACACATGCCTGCACGGGGGAGAGGCGAAAGGGAGCCCTAAGCCTGACCCAGAAGAGCCAGGGGTAAAACACTTGTGAGCAGGGAGGCACAGGGTGCCGTTAACTTCTAGGTCTCAGGACTTTTGGTGCAGCCACTTGACTTTCTGGGAGGTCAGGAAAGCACTGCCCAGCTGGACTTTGTGCTCACAAGGTCTTTCTGAGAATCTGCTGTGGGTCTCAGCCCAGCTCTCCCTCTCAGCACTACGTGGTGTCAGCAGTCACCCAGGCACTGAATGTGCTGCAGATCTGGTTGTGTCCGTGCTGCTCAACAGAAGGGGGGGAGGACCAGGCCTTCCCCCCACCCCAGCTGGCTGCATCTGCTCGGCTGCGGCCCCAGTGGAGTGGCATTGGCAGGGGGCTCGCTGGAGCCCGCCGAGGGATGCTGGCAGCAGCCGGGCAGGATCTGCGGCCCCAGTGGAGGGGCATTGGCAGGGGGCTCGCTGGAGCCCGCCGAGGGATGCTGGCAGCAGCCGGGCAGGATGGGCGACCAAGGCACTGTCCTCATCTCCTCCGCACAGGGTGGCAAGAACCTGCAGCTGAAAGGATGTGCTGTGTGTGTTGCTGACTTCAGGCAGTGGGCTCAAAGCCACTTGCACTGTGCTGAGTTCGAAACGTCGCGGTGACAGCAGCCTTCCTCTGCCGCGGGTACTGTCTGAGCCGCACAGCAGAGGCGGGTCAGAGCGGGCAGGACTGCGTTGACAGGTCACTGCCACACCTGGGCGGCCATCAGCACAGGGCCCGGGGGACGCTCTGCAACTCCAGTCAGGCTTTCCCTGTTCACTGCTTTTTCCCTTCCTGTTCCAGGGTGCAGCCCCCCCTTGCCCAGGCGCCTTCTTGCATGCCCGGCTGGCACTTTGCTTGCCAAGCTGTCTGGCAGGGCTTGGCCCGGATGAAGGCATCTCTCAGGGCCTGGTGGAGGCAGAAGGAGGCAAAGTCAGTCTTGTCCTCTCTCTGAGCAAGGCTTTGGCCTCTGAGTCACTTCTGCAGGCCAGGGGCCAGCCAGCTGTGGCATTGTTGAGACTGCAGCCCTGCAGGCTCTACAAAATGGCATTGCTCACACTCCGTGTCTGCCATCTGCCGAGTGTCCTGTGCGTGGGGTGTCCTGTGTGGGGACACCTGCAGCGCACTCGCACCACAGGCTCTGCAGTTGATTCTAGTGTTTGGGGGCATGAAGTGCTGGGAGCGTCCTGTGAGAGCTCGGGGGTCTCTTCTCAAACAAAGGCACCGCAAAAGCATATGCACCCATCAGCAGACAGAGCAAGGCTGGGACAGATTGAGAGTCCCAAGGGCAGGTAAATGCTATGACAGTTTTGAGCAAAACAAATATTTGGGCGCTTTGGTTTGAACCTCTCCTGCTGGAAACACTGGTAGAGAAGGGTGAAGCACAGGAAGAGGCCACCGCTAATCATGGTTTAGGTGTAGAAGAAAGGCTTGGAGGCAGAAATCAAATGATAAATGCAAAGCTCAGCGATTCACTGCAGACTTGCTCAGTGAGGTATTCCTGTAGGTGTTCGTTAGGCAAAATGGAGGGAGGTTTCTGTATCATCGCCTTGCTTTAAGCATCAGCCAGAGGGGTAGCTCCCACTGTAGGGCTGCAAGAGGAGTTTGTCAAGCTCTGGCAGGAGCAGGTGGTGTTCGCTCAGGAACTGCGGTAGCGATGGATCCTCCCAGGGAATGATCCCTAGGAAAGGGGAGGGGGAGTAAAGGGAAGGAAGAAGTGGTCTGTTTTCACTGAGGGGGGATGTCACTGGTGGGTGCCTAGGACTGGTGCTGGTATCCTCGCAATTTAGCATTTCCATTTATCCACCAGAAGAGGTGGTTGCCAATGTTCCTGGTCTGCTCATCATAACAGAGGTGAGGGCTCCCTGTGAAGAGCTGTAGAAGTATCTTGTTTTACTGGTCCATTAGGAAAGGACGGGAGATGAAATTCACAGTTGCTAACTGGAAGGTGATGCACATGGCAAAAAGCAATATGAGTTGCACTTACGTGGTGGTGGGCTCTGAATTGCTGCTTAAGTTGAGGGAGAAGATTTGGGTATCACCATGAATGCTGTGTGAAAATGTCGGCTCAGAGCTCAGCCACAGTCCAAAAGGCAAATCAGATACAATGAAGAATGGAAGAAAGCATCGTTGCATCTCAGATTCTGCACAGTCTCTGCCCTGCCTCCATTCCACTAAATAAGCAGCAGTGCCAGATTCAGAAAAGGATGTTAATGGTGTCTCCAGTAGACGATGGTTTCCATACAGAAAGAAAATACTTGAACGTTCTTTGGCGTGGAGGAAACTTCAGGAACATAGCGGAGGTGTGCCGTGAATGGCACAGAGAGAGTCATGGGGAGATCAGAAGTTGTTTTTTTCACAATACCAGACCCTAAGCAGCTTCATAAGAAATGACCAGGCAGCAGCTTTAAAATAAACAAAGGCAGTACTTCTTCATGCAGAACATAATTAAATTGTGAAATCATTGCCAAAAGTTGCATGGGTTCAAAATTAGATGAATTCATGGAAAGAAAAAAAATCCATCAAAGGCTGTTGAACAAAAATACGATCTGTAGCTCAGGAAGTGACTTGGCCGCAGCCTGCTGGAAGCGGGGAGGGTTTCACAGGAAGATTACTCCATCCATACCCTATTTCTTGCATCTCCTGTATATATCCACTGCCAGCCACTGTCAGAGCCATGCCGGTGGCTGCCATGCCTCTCTGATCTTTGGTCCAAGCTGGTATTTGCAACAACCTTCTTCAAGGGTGGACGTCAGACCTGGACAAGCCTGGCAGCGATTTTACCAAGGCTGAGGTTTTTGCAGAGGCCACTTCTATTGCTGTTTATTCCTCTCTTTGTGCATCTGAAATGGCATTTGTCCGTGGAGCCTGCGTGGATGCTGTTCATTTAACTCCTCTGCTGAGTCACCACGTTCCTCAGATGGAGCTCAATTCCTTGTGAAGAGGAGCGTGACCATGCACCCGAAGCAGGAGCCCCTTGTATCCTGGCTGAGGGCGACTGGAGACAGCATGGGGGGCAGGCCCTGCCCCAGCCTGTTATAGAGGAGAGGCTGGAAGGGGCCCCCCCAAGCATGGCCCCACTCAGAGGTGTCCATGCAGACACTCCTTTTCATAAACAGCCAAGCTATATTTAGGAGGTCTTCTGCCCCATCACTGCTGTGAAATGCTGTTCCAGATTCCTTGATCGGATAGTTAGAAACTACCTCTTAATTTCCAGCCTAAACTAATTTCTGACCACTTTATACTCATTTGTTCTTGCGCCAATATTGTGGTTTTGCTTAAATAGCTTTTCTCTCTCCTTGGAATTTCCCTCCCCTCTCCCCAGTGTTTACAGAGTGTAGTCACATCACTGCTTGGCCTGACTAAACAAGTCCAGCTCCTCTGGTCTCCCCTCCTGACCACCACCAGCATGGTGCCAGCAGCTTGTGCAACAGCATGAACACTTGCCTCCTCTCAGGAGCTTTCAGCTTCTTTCCTTGGAGTCTTGCTCGGATTCCACGTCTTTTTCATAGATGCATGGAAGTGGTACCACATAGAGATCACCTAGCGCAGCTGGATCTGCGAGGATGATCCATGCTGTGGGATGTGCTGGTGGGATGTGAACTTGAGCTCTTCTGGTGTGGAAGGGACCGCAGAGTCTGTGCCCCATGGGGAACCTGCTCCACCAGTGAGGGGTGGGTAGGTGCTGGAGGAGGGACAGGTCTGCCAGCAGGCATGGGTTGTTCCCTGAGGGTACTCCCAAAAACTGGCAGGTGGCGAGGGGCAGTAGTGGGGATGTGTCTGTTTCCATAACTATCCAGAAGAGGTGCTTGCGTGCTGCTGCCTGTGGTCTCTGTCAGGAAGCTGGTAACTCACCTCGGAGTGTGGGGTTGGCTGAGCACGTGTGTAATCAATGTCTTGATGGTACTGAGGTTCACTGGTATGAAGTGGAGGTGTAAGTGCCTACAGACAGGCGGTTAGCAGTGCTATCCAGCAGCAAAGGAGACAAGGGACAAGCCCCAACAGTACAGGTATCCGAGCCCAGGAAGAACTGCCAACTGCGCTTCCAGCGATCGCAGACCTCCCTGGTGGGAACTGAGGAAATCGCCGTCCCTTGCCAGGGTGACTGGCCTCTGCGCCTGCCAGTGCTCACACCTCTGCCTCTGCAGCTGAAGGGGTCTGTTGGGGCCAGAGAGGACCAGGACTGTTGTGGAGCCCTGGATTTTCCTAGCTGTAGAGGCTTTGGATGCAACAGGGGTGAAATAGTGTCTTCCCATCACCCTGCCGCTGCAGCATGCCCCCACACTGCAAAGCTGGTTGTTAAACAGGGCAGAATGGGAGGGAGGGCTAGCAAGGCAGAAACTCCCTTTGCCAGCTTTGCTGCAGACTTCTCCACCTTGTCCAGCCTCAGGCACAGCCTCCAGGTCTTGCTGGGGAGTCTGTGCCTTGGGTGAGGTGCAGGACTGCTGCAGGAAGGTGCAGATCCTGTGCCGTGCTTGGGGGTTTGTGGGGGCAGTCTGAAGGGTGCCCTGTGCCACTCAGCTGCTCCCTGGGCTGTGCTGCAGGTGCTGGAAGAGAAGCCATCGGGACTTCTCGTCGCCTCCCTGCAGGCCAAGGACCCTGACGAGGGTGAGAATGGGACCATCATCTACTCACTGATAGGTACGAGCTGCAGAACCAACTGATTGATGCTGCGCTCTGCCTTGCAGCCATTACCCTTGTGGACGGATGGGTGCCCGCTGCCCAAGCCCCGCCACATCGCGGTCCTTCCTCCATCCCGACCTGCCCCCTGCCCTCCCTCCTTCCCACCTCTCCCTGCAGCATTTCACCTTCTTTCCACAGGAGCCTGGGCAGAGCGTTTCACATTGCACATGGCTACTGGAGAGTTACGGACTGCCACAGTCCTACGCCGGTCTGACCGTGCTGAATACATCTTCACTGTGACGGCCAGTGACCGGGGCACGGTGCCTCGCAGTACATCAGCCATCATTCGCGTTCAGGTACCCAGCACCCCAGCTCCTCCTGTCCCTGCACCATCTGCCCCTTGCTCACCTCTTGGAGGACACCACCCTGCTACTTGGCAGCCTCCCTCCCTACCTTCTCACCCTCCGCTGCTTCCATCCCAGGGCACCTTCTGCCCTTGCTCTGCTGTTGATCTAGCCCTAAAGACCATGTGGAGAACCTGGGATGTGAGGGGATGGGTCTATCTACCACTGTCCATGTTGTCATTTGTAGAGTGGTCAACAGCATTAATAGTAAGCAGTGCTGTGCCTTCCAGACTGGGACAGCCAAGCCTGTCCTAGATATGCTGTCGCAGAGAAGACCTTGGATGTCCGCTGCACAGAGACACTAATTCTTCCCAGCGTCTGCTGAAAACAGGGTTCCTGACGTGCAAGGTGTCCTTCACATCTGTGTAGCTCTGGCACTCACTGCCCTGTGTATTGGCCGTTAGCAATGAGCTTCCTTCTACAGCAGAGACTCCAGCTTCCCCGCAGTCAAGGCACTGTCAGAGGACACCCTCTCACATCTTCCCGTCCCTGTTCTTGCAGTTCCCAAGGCCATTTGACTCTCCTTGTTTGATGCTCCGCTGCTTCTCTGTGCTGGCAGTGCCCTCAGCATCGTCAGCGAGTTCATGACGTACTCAGCTTTCTTACCCCTGCCCCTATCAAAAGCAAACATCAGCACCATGAGCCACCTCTGCAAAGGCCTGCTACTCATTCTGCTTGAGCCAGTTGATCTTTTATTCCTTTCTGTCACACAGCCATACTCATACTGTGCCTTTCCCCCATCTAATGAGTGATCTCCCCTGTGCTACTGCATCAGCACCCAGCTAAAACCCAGGCAAGTTAGGCACGGTTTCTTGGGTTTGGGTTTTTTTCATTTTAAGGTTGCTATTCATGTGTTAGGCCACAAGCACTGAGACTTTGCCTCCCAAGACCTACTCTCTGCCCGCCCCATGTCCCCCTTCTCCACTGGCTCCCCCATAGGACCTCCTGGCACATGGCACTCCAGTGCATGCCCCTCACTGCCGCCTCTCCTCACAGGTACTGCCATCCTCCCGGGTGCTGCCACGGCCTGACGCCACCGTGCTGACCCTGCACCCTCTCGAGGGGGTCAAGCCGGGGTCTGTGATCGGCTCAGTGGCACCCCCAGATGCCCCCGTGCGAGGACAGCTGACCTACACAGTGGTAGGAGGCGGTGGGGATGGCACCTTTGTGGTTGACAGTGTGACAGGGGAGATTTACGCTGCCCGGGAGTTGGACTATGAAGCTGGGGCACGACACGTGCTTCAGGTGAGCGCTGAGGACACGCAGCATGGCTATCCCTCCAGCCGACTGGTGCTGGTACAGATCCATGTGCAGGACTGCAACGACCAGGCGCCCACCTTCCCTGAAGACCCCATCACCATCGTGGTGCCTGAGAATGCCCAGGCTGGCTCGTCCATCTTCACCTTCCAGGCACTGGACGGGGATGGAGTGGGTCCCAACAGCCAGGTGCGCTATGCCCTGCTGCACCAGGAGCCCCCCGGGGCTCCCTTCCAGCTTGCCCCCTCCCTTGTGGGGGTGGGTGCCACGGACCAGGCCCGCAACATCAGCCAGCGCCGCTCGGCAGCTGTCACAGCCCGTGTGTTTGTGACTGACGAGAACGACAACACGCCCATGTTCCTCTCGCCTGCTGCTGTCAGTGTCATGGAGGACCAGCCAACAGGGTTCGTGGTGCTGCATGTGGTGGCCCAGGACAACGATTTGGGAGAGAACGGGCGTGTGAGCTACTCCTTGCGAGCAGGCAACAGTGATGGCCGCTTCCACCTTAACCCCAGCACTGGTGAGGGCCCAGGAGGATGCAGGGTGGGCGGCAGGGACAGTGGGGACGCAGGGGCTGAGGAGGGTGCAGGGATGCATGGGGATGCAGCATGGTGCACAGGAGGGGGGGTGTGGGCTGGGGAACCCAGAGGACGGAGACTTGTGGGGTGTGGAGAGCCCCGAGTGTAGCACCTGGTCGGCACGATACTGCTGTCTTTCTTGAGACCTGGCTGTCCATGGCTTACCCCAGTGCCTGCAGCCTTGCGATAGCTCTGTCCCGGGAACAGTCGGCCCTGGTGCCACGCGGTCCCAGCTTGCCCCTCTCCCTGTGTCTGCAGGTGCACTCTCCATTGTGCGGGCCCTGAACCGGGAGGAGGTGGTGCAGCACAACCTGACGGTGGTGGCCATGGATCATGGTTTCCCACGCCGCTCCGCCACACAGCTACTGTCTGTGCTGGTGCTGGACGTCAACGATGAGGCTCCCACTTTTGAGAAACCTGAGTATGAAGCACACATCATGGAGAACTTGCCGGCTGGCAGCCCTGTGCTGCAGGTGCTGGCCGTGGACCGGGACCTGGGTGAGGACGCAGGGCAAGGGTAAACTGCCCAGTTTGGTTAGGGGCCCTTCTGGCAATGCAGCACCCAGGACTGGGTGAATTCTGCTCCCTCCCACCTGGTTTGGCGAGCCTGGGTGACCATGGAGGGAAGGATCATCACTTGGCCTAGAGATGAGAGATGGGCTGAATCCTGCGAGAAGCTGAGGATGAACACAGGGACTGTGATGCCCTCTGCTCCCCAAGACAATGGCCTTTGTTCCTTGGTGGTTCCTTGGCCCATCTTCCGCAAGCTGGGCTGGGATCTTCCTCCACCACACATCTCTGCCCCAGCTTTACTTGCCAGGGAGTAAGATCATCCTCTCCCCCAGCCTGTGTGATCCCTGGGTGGGAAGCCTGGGAGGAGGGAGGTGCAGGGCTGTGAGCCACATGAGGGGCTCCTGGGGTGGCTGCTGGGCTGCCCCCAAAACCATGTTCCTCCCTGCAGGTGCCAACGGGCAGGTGTCCTACGGGGGTCTCTCTGGGGGGCCGTTCTCCATCCACCCACAGACAGGGCTTATTGTCACCACACACAGCCTGGACCGCGAGGAGCAGGAGCATCATGTGCTGATGGGTAGGGCTATGCTGGTGCATGAGTGGGGCGCAGGGAGCACAGGGGAGGCAGATGGGTGTCCCCACGGCTGGGGGAGGGCAGGATTGCAGGGCCAGCTGTGGGAAATGGTGGGGGTTTGTGGGGCACACAGGGCTGTTGGGCGGTTTGAGCATGCGGGAATGCCAGTGATGCCATGCTTGCTGCCCCTGTGATTGTCTGGGCGTTGGCATCTGACAGCCTTGGTAGTCGCTCCTGGTCAGCAGGGTAGCCTCCCAGTGCTCTTGCTGTGTTCCTGCAGTCTATGCACGGGATGGTGGCCTGCCCCCCAACCTCTCCAAGGCAACTGTGCGGATAACAGTTGGGGATGAGAATGACCATGCACCGCACCTAGAGAGTGAGTCCTGCTCTGTGGAGGTCCCTGAGAACCAAAGCCGCGTGGCACTCTACACCCTGCGAGCCACCGATCCGGATGGCGGCGAGAACGGGCGCTTGGAATACCACATGGCAGGTGAGGCACATGGGGAGCTCTGTAGCTGCTTTCTCGGCAGCAGGTAAAGGCAGTTCACCCTGGGTTGCCCGTGGCTCTGGGAAGTTCTGGCGGTTCCTGTTCCGCCTCAGTTCCCTCCTGGTCCAAACCACGTGTAGCTGCTGCCACCTCTCAGCCCTCTAGCTTCTCCAGTAAAGAGCACCCCAAGATCTGGACAAGCTGCCCTTCCTCATTCCTCACGGTCTTGTCTGGTTCCCCAGGCTTCGACTAGGTCCATACCACTCTTGGCTGCTCTGACTGTTGCATTTACAGGTTGCAAAGTGAGATCTCTTTGCTGTTACCATGCCGTGCATTATCTGGGGGCTCCCTGTGGCAGCAATGCTGGCCTGTAAGCTGAGCTGTCGGAGCCAGTTCTTACACACCCAACCCCCATATACACACACACACACACAGAGCTGGACCAAGGAGGTTCAGTCCCACTGGGGCCTTACGGAGAGCAGCTCACTCCACCCTCCCTGCCAGGCCACACTGGGATGGACTTCATGCCTGTCCTCTCTGGGCAGCATGGGACAGGTCCTCCCTTGTACCAGTTATAGTCACTCTGTCTTGTTATTCCCTCTCTTCTTTTCCAGATGGAGACCCTGGGCAGGATTTCAGCCTGGACCCAGTCTCCGGCGTCCTCTCCACTGCACGTGCCCTTGACCGGGAGCAAGTTGCTTCCTACAGCCTCACAGTGGTGGTGCAGGACCACGGCACCCCCCCACGCAGTGCCACCATGTCGGTGAACGTGCGGGTGTTGGACCTAAACGACAATGCACCGGGTTTTGCTCAGGCTGCCTATGTGGTGGAGGTGCCAGAGGACTTGCCTGTTGGTGCCCTGGTGCTGCAGCTGGTGGCTGAGGACCCTGACGAAGGCACCAATGGGCAGGTCTCTTACTACCTGGGCAACGAGTCACTTGGCATGTTCCAGGTTGAGCCACAGAGTGGGCGCATCAGAAGCGCCCAGGTGCTGGACCGGGAGCGCCACCCCAGTTACAGCTTCCTGGCCAAGGCTGTGGACTCAGCACCATGGGAGCCCAAAAGCGCAGCTGTCCGTGTCACGGTCACAGTGCGAGATGTCAATGACCATGCCCCTGCCTTCCTGCACAGCCCACTCACTGTCAACTTGTCGCGCCACACACCGCTCAAGCAGGTCGTGGCCACCATGAGGGCAGAGGACAGGGATGCAGGCGCCAACGCCTCCATCCTGTATCGCCTTGCCACCCCGAACTCTGCCTTTGCAATCAACTCCTACACAGGGGATATCCAGCTTCTGCAGCCCCTGGGCTCACTCAGCCAACGCCAGCGGACGCTGTTTATCCTGGCCACAGACCTGGGGCAACCGGCACTCTCCTCTACTGGTGTGGTGGTGATCCATTTGCAGGAAGAGCCCTACCGGGGGCTGCGCTTTCCCCGGAGCACCAGTGATGTGGCCCTGCCGGAAAATGCTGCCCCAGGTATTGGCTAGGTGGAGTGACCAGCAAGTGCTGGGACGAAATGGGACAGGGAGGGGAAGTGGGTGCTGGGCTGGCAAAGCTGTGGGAGGATCAAACCAGGGAGCACTGCAGGGCCTTGGAAAGCACCATTATGCTTTGGGTAGACCCAAGGGACTGCAGGGTTTGAGTGGTGTCCAGGCTGTTCAGGGTGCTAATCCCTGTGGGTTTGCCTGAGGGTCTTCAGATCACTGTAGGCGGTCACCATGCCCAGTTATTCCACAAAGGTCTCCAGGAGTCACGGTGAGACCACAGAGGGGTCATGGACAGGCCCCACGAATCCTGGTTCCTGGGCCAAAGCTACCATTAGATCTCGCTTCCTCTGGCAGCAGCGTCCTCAGGCAGAGCTGCGTTCCAGTGGCGCAGCACGTGCTGCCCGCTCACTGCCCTGCCCGGTCACAGCCCTGCCCGCAGGCTCCACTGCCCCTCATGCTGTTCCGCTCTCTTCCAGGCACCACTGTGGCAAGCATCCAAGCCATGCACACGGGGGGCTCTTCTGGGCGCATCACCTACAGCATCGTCAGTGGCAACGAGAAGAATGCCTTCCTTATCCAGCCCAGCTCAGGTACAGCACCGAGGCCGCCTGGGGAAGCAGCAGTGGGGGCCCCCTGTGCTCTGCCACAGGGCTCAGAGCCCCCCCCGAGCCACAGGAACACCATCCACACCTCTATGCCAGTAAAGTAAATAGTGTTAGTATTGGACGTGGACACTAACCTGTCGCTGTCCAAAGGTTGTTAGCACAGCTCCCAGCACCATTTTGGTCCCTCCTAACTGGATCTTTCCCCAAAAACTCCTAGGCCAAGTTCAGGAGTTAGCAGAGGCCAGGACCACCACTAAGATGCAATCTGCAATCCGGATGCAACCCCTGCCTTAGATGACAAGTTCAGCCAAAGGATACATCCAGTTCTGTTTAAATCTTTATCCATGACCTGGACGAGGGGATCGAGGGCACCCTCAGCCAGTTTGCAGACGACACCGAGCTGGGCGGGAATGTGGATCTGCTGGGGAGGAGAGGGGCTTTGCAGAGGGACCTGGCCAGGCTGGATCCATGGGCCCAGCCCAGTTGGGTGAGGGTCAACAAGGCCAAGGGCCGGGTCCTGGCCTGGGGTCACCACAACCCCAGGCAGCGCTCCAGGTGTGGGGCAGAGGGGCTGGAAAGCTGCCCGGCGGAAAAGGCCCTGGGGGTGTTGGTCGAGAGGGGGCTGAATATGAGCCAGCAGGGGGCCCAGGTGGCCAAGAGGGCCAGCGGCATCCTGGCTTGTATCAGGAGTGGTGTGGCCAGCAGGAGCAGGGCAGGGAGCGTGCCCCTGTGCTGGGCACTGGGGGGGCCGCCCCTCGACTGCTGGGGTCAGGGTTGGGCCCCTCCCTCCCCGAAGGACCTGGGGTGGCTGGAGCGTGTCCAGAGAAGGGCGGCAGAGCTGGGGAGGGGTCTGGAGCTCTGCTCCCAGGGAAGGGGCAATGGAACGAGGGGAAACGGCCTCAAGTTGTGCCAGGGCAGGGTTAGGTTGGACATTGGGAACAATTCCTTCCCCGCAAGGGCTGTCAGGCACTGGAAGGGGCTGCCCAGGGAAGGGGTCGAGTCCCCAGCCCTGGGGGGATTTAACAGCCGGGCAGAGGCGGTGCTGAGGGCCAGGGTTTGGGGGTGGGATGGCAGGGGTAGGGGAACGGTTGGGCTGTGTGAGCTCAAAGGGCATTTCCAACCCAAGCGATTCTGTGATTCTATGATTCTGTGTTGGGGCCGCAGCTCCAGGCACCTGGACTGCCGCACTTTATTCTCTGGAGCTGCTGTGACTGCAGCGCTGCTGTGGATTCATGTCTGTCTCCGTGCAGTCCCAATGGTGACAGTAAATGGGGAACCAGTGGGCATTCCATGGGAGCCCTCCCTCTGCACCATACTGTTCCCTGAGCCAGTGCTGAACACATCAGAGGTGCTTGTGGGCAGCTGATGACCCAGACAGAGCGGTGAGGCAGGTTGCAGGGTGCTGGGCAAGCTCACATTGTTTGCACCGTATGCTTCAAAGGGCAGCCTTCGAAGGGCCACACATCCCTTGTCATCGGGGAAAGCCTGGCCAAGGGTAGGGTGAGGGGTGTCTTGCTGTGAGGTTGGTGCTTGTCCTGTAGTTTGGAAGAGACTGGGATATCATAACCCCCAGTATCAATACAGGCTGGGGGATGAAGGCATTGAGAGCAGCCCTGCCCAGAGGGACTTGGGGGCACTGATGGATGAAAAGCTGGACATGAGCTGGCCATGGGCGCTGGCAGCCCAGAAAGCCAACCGTGCCCTGGGCTGCATCCCCAGCAACGGGGCGAGGGAGGGGATTCTGCCCCTCTGCCCCGCTCTGGTCAGATCCCCTGGAGCCCTGTGTCCAGCTCGGGGGTCCCCAGCACAGGGCAGACAGGGATCTGTTGGAGCGGGGCCAGAGGAAGCCACGGGAATGCTCCGAGGGCTGGAGCCCCTCTGCTCTGAGGCCAGGCTGGGGGAGTTGGGGGTGTTCAGCCTGGAGAAGAGAAGGCTGCGGGCAGAGCTGAGTGTGGCCGTTCAGGGCTTCAAGGGGGCCCAGAGGAAAGGCGGGGACAAGCTTTTTAGCAGGGCCAGCTGTGACAGGACAAGGGGGGATGGTTTTAAACTGAAGCAGGGTAGGTTTAGACTGGATCTAAGAAAGAAATTCTTTACAATGAGGGTGGTGAAACCCTGGCAGGGGTTGCCCAGAGAGGGGGTGGAGGCCCCATCCCTGGGAACATTCCAGGCCAGGTTGGATGGGGCTGTGAGCAACCTGATCTGGTTAAAGGTGTCCCTGCTCCCTGGAGGGGGGGTTGGACTCAGTGACCTCTATGGGTCCCTTCCAACGCAATTCTATGATTCTATGATATGAGAAAGTCAGCCCTCAGAGCCCAGACATCATGCCAGAGCTTCTTGTTAAAACCCCATTCTCTTCTGCCTGCTAGATGCTTGGGTTTGGGACAGGATCCCAGGCTGACAGAGATCTTTCTGACACTGTGCTTGTGTCCTCTGCAGCCCATGGCTACTGTGCGGGTCCCTGTGAGCCACCCACGGTGCAAGCCGTTGGCACCCTGATTAAGTACTGGCCACTGCAAGTCACCCATGGGTATGGTGGGAAATGCTCAGCCATGCACAAGCCTCAGCACCCTGGTGTCACTGCGAGCCACTGACTGCACTGTGCTGCTGCTGCAAGCCACAGCGTGGGCACTGAGAGCACTGCAGGGAGGCCAGCACAGCACACCGTATCTCACAAAGGGGGTCCCAACCCCGCCTTGGGGCATGGCCCCACGGAGTGCTGAGGCACCTGAGCTGCAGCTGCAGGCTTCCTGCACCCTGGGCATCCCAGAGGGCCTGATGCCACCCTGCAGCAAAGCCATGTGCACAGCCTGACCGCAATTCCTCTGTCATCTAGTGCATGCAGCACCCAAGCAGAGTAACCCCCAGCCCCAAACTGAGCTCTGGAGTTGGCACTCTGCAGTTCCCAAAACCCAGAGTCAACGGGCAGCTGTGCTAAAACCCCAGCCAGGCTCACAGTCTGTGGGAGCTACTGTGCCCAGAGCTCCCCTGCATGCTCTCAGTCCCGAGCACTGCTGCCCGTGAAGGATCAGCCCTCGCACACTGCCATGCGAGCGCACCTGTCTGAAGCGGCCGTTCAGGAGCAAGCATTTCACAGCAACAGAGCTGGGCCAAAGCTGCTCTGTCTGTGAGGGAGGGGCTGGCAGGGTCGCACCCTGGCCAGTTCTGTCTGGTCCCTGAGCCATCACCGAGGTCTCTGAGCCAGCCATCACCATGCTCCTGTGCTACCCAGGTCTCTCAGCTGAAGCCTGCATGGCTTCCATTATAGCCTGGGGGTGAAAGCAACCCCAGGTGACTCCCAGGCTGCTCGTGGGGCTGCCAGGGCTATGCCTGGTCCCATCCAGTTCGGAGCCAGGCTGTGCAAGGGCAGCGACTGCTCAGACCTGCCCGGTGGTCTACCCCTGAACAGAGCTGGTGCAGTGCGGCACCACCGCGGCAGTGCCCAGCTGAAACCCTGTGCCCACAAGCTGGCTGGAACAGAGATCACAGAGCTCTTCTCCTCCCCCTTGCTTTTCCGCGTGGGTCTGCAGCTGGACCCTGCACAGTGGGACTGTGCTCCCTAGCATGGGAGGCTGAGGCCGGTCAGCGCTTCCTGCTGTCCCGGGTGGGATAAGCAGGGCCCTGCTACTCCATGTGTGGCTGTGACACCCAGCTGCCCTGCTGTGCCGCAGCAAGGCCTGGTGGGGTCACAGAATCGCATCCCCTACTGTGATCCCTGTCCCTTCATCTTGTTCCTGCTCGAGCCACTCGTGCCAGTGGGTGTCAGAGCACCCCGGACGTGTCCTGGCTGCACCTCGGCTGCACCTCGGTTGCTGCGGCGATACCACTTCATCTCAATGTGGAAACATTTCCCTTGGGCAAAGAGCCCAGAATGCATGATTTTTCCCTTAAAACATGTCCCTCCTTGAGTTCGTCTGTCTGTGAAACGCTGCCCTGCTTTCTCCCAGGGCAAGGGGCTGCATGCTGCAGCCGGGTAGGGGGTGCTGGAGCAGCAGAGCAAAGGGGGGGCTGGCAGAGTGCGGCTCTCCTGCCCTGTGCCAGCTGCCAGGCAGTGTTACAGCAGGCCACCGGCCTTCAGCTCCGCTGTGACGATGAACCAGTGTGTGGGCACCAGCCCATGACGGTCCTCAGCCATGCCCAGGCTCATCCCCTCTCCAGGGCGGACCAGGGGTGATGCCCAGGGGAGCTGTGTTAGAGCCTTGCGTTGGCAAGCATGCTAAAGTGCTGCTGCGGGCCAGACCAGAGCGGGGGAATGCCGCGGGAGCGTCCTCAGCCCCGTACTGCGGCGCCTCAGGCTCCGCTGCTTCTGTCCCAGGCAGGAACAACCCTTCAGAAAGTGGGCTGCTTCGGACTGTGCTCCTTGTGTCTCCTCTGGGCCAAGCTAGCCCTGGAGGCAGGGCCTGCCCTGGCACCCCAATGGCACCAGAGGGGCAAGGAACACAGCCGGCTCCCGGCCCTCGGGTTGCAGGAGGTGAGGACACAGCCATTCTCCAAACCAGGCCGCTCTGCTGGTGGCTGTAATCTGTGTTTGCCATCCCTGGACGTGTGGTTTCAGCTGTGTGCATTGGGACTCCCACTATCGCGCAGAGCTGGCAGCAGAGCTCGTGTGTGGGAGCTGAGCTTGTCCAAGCCGCGTAGCTGTGCTAGGTGCCTGGTGCTGCACCCCGCTTGCCTGGCCAGTTCGCCTGGTGGTTGCACATAGATGCTGAAACAGGCTGCAGAGAGCGTGAGGCCCTGCAGGACTCCCCGAGGCAGAGGGTCAGCTGCAGGAGCACGGTTCCTCCTCATTATGTTTGAACGCGTGCCTGTAGGAATGCTGCTAGTTATTTTAGTATATCTTTTGGGATGCCCCCACCTTCCTGGGTGGGACAGCAGCCCAGGTGCACAGCGGCTCAGGAGGCTGCGAATGGACGTCTGTCCTCAGAACCCTAGCGGAACTGCTGGCAGCTCCTACAGTGCCGTTGTAAGGACTTGATCGAGACTGATAGCTGGAGTTGGGTGACTTTGGCCTGGAGCTTGGTGAGCTTGTGCGGCAGGATGGGGCCTGACATGGAGCAATTCTTTTTTAAGCTGCCGTACCCCAGATGGTGTCTCCAGAGTGGGGGGACTATTGAATGCTTTGATGTAAGGGGAAGCTGCCTGTCCTGGGTGAGGTGCAGGATTCGTCACCCAGGGCAGCTCACTGGGACTGATGAGCAGCCTGTCAGTTTGGGGGGGGGCCTCAGAAGAGCTCAGGGTGTTTGTTCTGTCTGCTTGAGAATGGGTGGATGAGCAGAGGGCTGGACTGAGTGCAAGGGAACGAAGGAGAAGAGGAGGGATGGATGTGCTGGTGCACCGCTCACCCCCCCTTCACCCACCCCACCCTGCTGTTTCCCTGCTCCCAGGTGCCATCTCAGTTCAGGACTCGAGCAGCCTGGATTTCGAGGCCAGCCCCCGGCTGCGCCTTGTGGTCCAGGCAGAGACAGCAGCTTCCTTTGGCTTCATGGCCATAAACCTTAACCTGCAAGACGTGAATGACAACTTGCCACGCTTCCAGCTGCAGAACTACGTGGCGTTCATCTGGGAGTCACAGAGCTACGACTCACCAGTCATCCAGGTATCACTGCAGGCGCAAGCACAGACACCTGGGCCCCTGGTCTGCCTCTCTGCTGGGGCGAGGGGGTGGCGGGCTGTGCCATGGGCCTGGGGCTGGCACCTATGGATAGATAGCCCCAGCCTCAGAGAGCTGTGGTTTGCAGGGCTCCCCCACTGCACTGCTGAATCTCTCTTGTGGCTTTGCAGGTCCTGGCAGATGATCCGGATCAGGGGGCGAATGGGCAGGTGACTTACGCCATCAACCAGTCCCTGCCAATGGCAGGCTTGTACCATATCGATCCTCAGACTGGCACTATCACTACAGCTGCCATCCTGGACAGGGAGATCTGGTCCCAGACCCGGTGAGTGGAGACTTGTGCCACAGAGATGGGGGGGGCCGAGTGGTGCAGCAGCATCCCCAAGGCTGCGGAGGATGCTCTGCTGCTCAGTGCCGCCCAAAGCTGTCTCAGCCCTGCCTGTTAAATGTTTTTGCCAAGCAGCAGGAGCTTGGGCTTAGTGTTAACATGGGGAGCAAATGGTATCGAAGGCATGACAGATGACCACGAGATGAGCCCGTGCTCTGTTCAGCCTGGTCTCTGCAGATCTGAGAAGATTGTGAGGGGGGTAGTGGACCCTTCAGTGGCTGCATCCATCCCCTTTCCCGCCTGCTTAGACCACATAGGCTCAGTCCCTTCCCACACCCATACATTGCACCCTTCTGCCCTGTCACACGCGCTCCAGGTGCTATGCACTGTCCTGAACCCTCTTGCAAGTCCCCCTGCATTCAGCCCAGGTCCTCACTGGGTGCACGCACTCTTCATATCGTCCAGCCACGCATGTATGAGATATAACACGACAAACAACAAATTTCAGTCTTCCCCTGCCCTTTTACACATGCATGGTTCAGATGCAAGGAACAACTTCTGCTGCCCCACTCTGGCGATGTTCTCTCCCCCATGTGCATGCTCCAGGGGCTGCATGTCTCTCTTCCTTCTTCCCAGGGGACACCTAGGGCATTCATTCCACTCACGCATCCATCACCATTCCACAAAGAGACTCCGTGCATTCTCCAGCACCCAGATGTGCTCCAGGTGCCTGTCTCCCTGCACCCCACAACATGCTCTGCCTGCATCATCTCCCACACACATTCCAGACACCTGCCCCTTGCTGTGGGTGCACCCACTACCTCCCCTTGCAAAAGCCTCCAGCCATGCGTGCGTCTTCTGTGCCATGTGCCCATGCAGGGTAGGTTTAGACTAGATATAAGGAAGAAATTCTTTACAATGAGGGTGGTGAAACACTGGAACAGGTTGCCCAGAGAGGTAGTGGAAGCCCCATCCCTGGAAGCATTCAAGGCCAGGTTGGACGGGGCTCTGAGCAACCTGATCTAGTTAGCGGTGTCCCTGCTCACTGCAGGGGGGTTGGACTAGATGACCTCTAGGGGTCCCTTCCAACCCAAAACATTCTATGATTCTGTGATTCTATGAATCCACTGCCCGCCACATGCTCCAGATACTTGTGCCCACATTTGCTGCCTGCTTGTGTGTTCCGGGTGCTGGACACAAACCCACTGCCCCCCAGACCTGCACCTCAGATGTCTTGCCCTGGCCCACCATACTCTCAACGTACGCACGTCCACTGCCCCGCACATGCACTCCAGATGCTTTGCACTTATCCATTGCCCCAGACACTCCAGATGCTGTGCATGGTTCCACTACCACATGTACACACTCCAACCCTGTGCACACATGCAGTACCCCCCGACATGCTCCAGATGCTGTGCATACATACGTTCCTACCTCACACACATGGCCACGTCTGTGAACCTTGTGCTTGCCCGCAGTTTGGTGGTAACGGCAGTGGACAGAGGGACGCCGCCTCTTGTGGGCTCTGCCACGCTGACCGTTGTGGTGATGGACATCAATGACAATAGCCCCACCATCCCCTTTCCCTGGGAGGTGCGGGTCCCAGAGAGTAAGTGCAGCTCAGCCCTGTGCGGTAACGCGTCCCCGACAGCACGAGCTGAGGCGCGACGGACGCCTGTGGGTCAGGGAGAAGCCCCCAGAGGGGCCTGCCCATTCCCTTGCCAAGGGCTGGCTTGTGCTGGCCACAGGCTGAGTTCCCCCGAGCTCTTCAGCACTGCCCCATCTGTGGCGGCCTGGGGCCGGGGTCCCTGTGTCCTGGGGGAACCAGCTGAATTCCCAGCTCACCCCTGGCCCCTGCCTGTGCTGCAGGCTCTCTGGCCGCACACACCTACCCTGCCTGCTCTCAGTCCTTGGCCTGTGCACCCTGTGCCTGTGCCAGCCTTGACCGGCCCTGCCCAGCTCCCAGTTCCTTCCCTTTTGCCCCCAGCATCCCCCCCTTGTCCCCAGTGTTCGGGCTCTGGACTGAGCTGGTTTCCCACCACATGAGCCAGGGCTTCTCCGCGGAGATGGGGCTGCCTGCTCATGCCTCGCCTCTCCACAGACACGCTGCTGGGCACTCAGATAGCCCAGCTGACCGGCAATGACGTGGACTCGGGCCCCACACTCTCCTACACGCTCGTGCTGGATGGTGACGCCATGGGCACGTTCAGCGTGCTGCGGTATGGGGGACGCATCGCGCTGACAGGGCCGCTGGACTATGAACAGCGCAGCCACTACACCCTCACCCTGCGTGCCTCCGACACCCGCCACGAGACTGAGGCCAACCTCACCGTCATTGTGGAGGACATGAATGACAACGCACCGACTTTCAGCCAGGGCTTCTATCAGGTACCGTGCACTCAGGTGTGTAAGGCGGCATGGGCTGTCCTGTATGAGCCCCTGGACTGCTCCTGCCTGGCTCACTGGGCCTGACGAAGCAGAGATCCCCCAAGCATGGGTCTGAGCGCAGCCCAGCCCCTCTGTTCCTGGGCTTCCATCCATGCCCTGACAACCTTCATGCCGTCACCATTGCGTGGGCAGGAGGCTGAGACCAGGGACGTAACACTGGGATCAGCAACTGCGGGCCTGCACAGCTGCATGTGGATGGTGCCTGCTGGGATGGGTGGGAATGGTGGGAAGGCCAGAAGCAGTGGGAGATGGGTCACAGCCTGGACAAGTGTTTCTGGCGAGATCTGGCCTGGGGTCCCACAGGGAGATCGCTGGGACAATGTGCTCTGTGTCTGGAGCAGGGGTGCAAGAAGCTGGGAGGCCACAGAAATGCTTGAAGGCTGCGACAGCACAGAGCAATGGGACAGTCTGATTGCACGTGCTGCTCCACACACCAAAAAGACAAGAGCTGCTTGGATTTGTGTAAAATACCTTTTGTGGAGAACACGTCAGCTATTAAAGAGTTCTTCAGAGTAGCAAAGCAAAGCAGAGAAAAGGATCAGGAACTGGATTCTGAAGCCGGTTGGGAGTGAGTCACATTAACGGTGCGGGGCACTGTGCACATGGGACAGGCCCTCTCTGTGTGCCAGCCACAGCCCTGGCCAGCAATGAGCTGGGCCACCTTGGCAAACGCTGCGCTGGCCAGCCCCAGACCTTCTCCCAGCCATGCTGGCTGGCTCCAGGCAAGGGGGAACGCATGTCTGAATGGGAGACCCGGTGCTGATCGAGGCTCCTTCCTCTTACAGGTGGCATTGCCAGAGCACACTCCCGCAGGCAGCACCCTTCTCACTGTGAGCGCAACCGACCCAGACTCGGGGAGCAACGGGGATGTCACCTTCCGCCTGGCCGTGCCCAGCCCTGACATTGCCATCGACCCCAGCAATGGTGCGTGGGGCTGGCTGCTTTGTGGTGCCCATCTCGTGGGTTGCTCCGACAGTGCCTGCACGGGGAGGTGCCCCCATGCTAGCCCAGGCTCGGCCCCTCACCGGGTCGCTGTCTGGGGTGGCCAGTGAGGCAGACGTGGTGGGGTGACCATCGAGCGCTCCCACCACAGCATCCTGGACGCCTGTTCCTCCAGCCAATAACCCTAACACCCTTCCCGGCTCCCTGGCAGCCCCCATGCTGACTCTGGCTTTGTGCCCTCACAGGGACCCTCTTCACCATCCGGCGTGTGGAATTCAACACCAGCCAGCCCACCCTGGACCTGGTGGTGGAGGCCAGCGACCACGGCTCTCCCAGCCTCTCATCCTGGACCACAGTGCAGCTCCAGGTGCTGGATGTGAATGACCACAGCCCCAGCTTCCAGGTGCCACGCTACAATGCCAGTGTCCCCGAGGACCTGCGCCCAGGAACCACCGTGCTGACACTAGAGGCAGGTGATGCTGACCTCTCCCGGGAGAACGCTGGCTTCGACTACACCATCGTCAGTGGCAATGGCGGCAATGCCTTCCAGGTGGAGAGCCGGGTGGCCTGGGCAGGGGGGCATCTCCGCACGCAGGGTGCCTTGGTGCTCGTGGAGCCCTTAGACTTTGAGGCCATCCCAGTCTACAACCTCACTGTGGCAGCCTCAGACCGGGGCCTGCCGCAGCGCAGCACCACGGTGCCTGTGCTCATCACCGTGCAGGATGTCAACGACAACCCTCCTGTGTTCGCCCGAGCTGAGTACCGCACGGCAGTGAGCGAGAGCACGCCCCCCGGCACAGAGCTGCTGCGCATGGTGGCCCACGATGCTGACTCGGGACCCCACGGCCATGTTCACTACACCATCAGCTCAGGTGACCAGCACGGGCTCTTCCAGCTTCATGAGAGCACGGGGGCCCTGTGCCTGGCACGGCCCCTGGACCGGGAGGCTCAGGCACTGCACGCACTTGTGGTGCAGGCCACAGACATGCCGGGCGGGCACTTTGCGCTAGTACCCGTGGCCATTGAAGTGAAGGACATCAATGATAACAAGCCGTACTTCCCAGTGGAGGTGCTGAGTGCCAGTATGCGGGAGAACCTGCCTCCCGGCACACTGGTCACCACACTGCGTGCTGTCGATGCAGACACTGGTGTCTTTGGGGAGCTGCGGTACACAGTGCTGGAGCAGCCAGTGGGGGAGCCTGGCATGGTGGAGGGCCGGGACGCCTTCTCTGTCAACAGCAGCTCTGGGGAGCTGCGCTCCCGACTCACCTTTGACTATGAACGAGCCAAAGCCTTCCAGCTCCTAGTCAGGGCCACTGATGCTGGCAACGCTTCTGCCACGGTGACTGTGCGGGTGCTGGTCACAGGGGAGGATGAGTATGATCCCATCTTCCTGAGCCCCTCCTTCAACTTTGAGGTCCCAGAGGGTGCCCGCAAAGGGCAGAGCATTGGGCGGGTGCTGGCAACAGATGAGGACGAGGGGGCTGACGGTGTTGTGCTCTACTCCCTGGCAAAGCCCTCGCCGTACTTTGCCATCAACCAAACCACAGGTAGCATCTACCTGCGTGTGGACAGCCAGCCCCAGGCCGGGGCCGGGCGTGCCAAGAGGGAACCGCGGGAGATGAGCCTGGAGGTGCAGGCACGCAGCCCCCTGCCTGCCTCCCGCTCAGCCTCCGCGCAGGTCACCATTGACGTCACGCACACCTCCTTTGGGCTGGCTCCAGACCTCAACCTGCTGCTGGTGGCCGTGGCTGCCTCGCTGGGGGTTGTGGTGGTGCTGGCCGCCGTGGCCATTGTGCTGGCACTGGTCCGCTCTCGCCACCGCCGGGGCCGTGAGAAGCCGGAGGGGGACGGGCCTCTGGGCCGCGTGCGGGGCGGCTCCCTG